TGTAACATTAAAAATTTTTTTTTGGATAAGTTCTGAATCGTCCTGTATATATCTTACACATTGCATTCGATTGTTAAAGTGCTCAGATACCTTGCGCATACCTACCTAGAGTTTTATAAGCTCTTAATTATATTTAAAATAATTATTACCTTAGCTCATAGAGCAATACAAACTTTTTCCAATAGTTTGACGCATGCGCATTCCGATGTAATGCTTACATAGGTTCGAAATTCATTGTTTCGAATCAAATGCCATTGCATCTAACTGTCTTTCGAAAGCATTAAGAACATAGCTGTACCTAAATTATTTTTCATTTACTTTATAGCTATAGAAGTACACAGTTTTTGAATCTTATTCCCCAAATTACAGTCTCATTATCTATATACAGGGTGGTCCAGATTTTAATAGACAAACATTGGGAAGTACTAAACAGCAAAAATTAGCATCACTTTGCTGTATGAACATAGGCTCAGAAAGTCACCGTTTATGAGATACAGGGCGTTGAAATTATCAAAAATAAAACAATTTTTTTAAATATCTTTAAAACCACTTCATCAAATTTATCCAAATTTGGTACACATTCTTTTTCAAATATTTCTCATACTTCTGTATGCACACAGTCCAAATTCAAAAACCAGTGGCGGAGAAACAAAGATATCGTTTTCTTATTTAATGTAAAACTTCTACGCCACTGAATTAATTGGTAATATGAATACATTTTATAACGGCCTGAAACATTCCGGATCAAAAGAGTCTTTTATTTTTGTCGAAAAGTGAATGGTTTACAAGTTATGAGACATATTATCCATACACAACATAGGTACAAAAGCCACCGTTTATGAGATACAGAGCGTTGAAATGATCAAAAATAAAACAAAAAAACTGGAAAACCGCTTCATCAAATTTATCCAAATTGCATACACATTTTTCACTATCATAGCAAACATGTCGAGTTCAACTTTCAAGTAACGCGAACAACAAGTAAAGTTATATGAAAAACAAATAAATTAAATCAATTGCTCGAAGCGTCCATCTCCAAACTCAATGCAGATTTGGCATCTTTTGGTTATAGAATTCACAGCAGCTCTGATTGAAACCGGATTTTGTTTCAAATTAGTGCAGGCCTCATTTAGCCTTTGCACTAGCTAGTCTCTATTTGCTATAGGAACAATATAAACGTCATTTTTGTAGGTTACCCCAAATAAAATAATCTAAAATATTTAGATCAGGTGATCTAGGTGGCCAAGGTATGGGGCCATTCCGACCAATCCATCTGTTTTTGGTAGTTGTTTGTCAGCCATTCACGAACTACTTGGCCAGAATGTGCTGGCGGCCCATCCATTTGAAACCAGGTCCCGATTCGTTGGTCCAAAAGTATGTCCTCAATTAACTGGAAGAGGCTATTGTCCAAAAAATTTAAAATCAGATCGGAATTTAGTCTAGGTGTTTACTTGGATATGTTTCATAACTCGTAAACCATTCACTTTTCGACAAAAATAAAAGAATGTTTTTCCATCCGGAATATTTCAGACCGTTATAAAATGTATTCATATTACCAATGAATTCAGTGGCGTAGAAGTATTACATTAAATAGAGAAACAATATCCTTGTTTCTCCGCCACTGGTTTTTGAATTTGGACTGTATGAATACAGAACCAACAGAATTATTTAAAACAAATGTGTACCAAATTTGGATAAATTTGATGAAGTGGTTTTCCAGATATTTAAAAAAAATTGTTTTATTTTTGTTAATTTCAACGCCCTGTATCTCATAAAAGGTCGCTTTTTGCACCTATGTTCAAAGAGCAGTGATGTTAATTTTTACTGTTTAGTACTTTCTCGAAGTTTTTCTATTAAAATTTGGACCACCCTGTAGATAGATCTATCTATAGAGATAGATGATGGGACAAGAAGAAGAAACAATACCTATACAAGAAAATCATGGATACTAAGCATCCCAAAATCTTAATCTCGAAAAAGTTATTATGTAAAATATTCCTATTTTACAGTAAAATAAACGCCCTGCATAGCTTACTTAAAACACACCTAAAATTCAGTACTATACAAGGTGATTAATTAACAATGGGAAAATCGAAAGCTGAAGATACTACACGTGAAATGGTGACCATTGGCGCAAACATGCCTTATCCGAAAGTTGATAGTTTCGGAAATACAAGGTGTTGAAAGTTGAAATTTTAAATCGTTTTTTGCGATTATTCTGAAAATATGTAGGTTAGGAACTTGAAAATTTGTGAAACTACATTTTTTTAGGCGACGAATAAGATGCGTGTTGTAATTTCAGCATTGCTCGTAGAGGGCGCCACTTACGACCAATTTTACCGAAAATTTAGTTAATAACTTTTTACCCTGTATGTCTAACATGAAACTTGATTGAAAACCTGAAAGAGCAGTCATTTTTCCATTAATTGTGTATTCTTGTTTCATTTCGGTATCTCGATCCGTTTTCGAAAAAAATAGATTTAACGAACACTATGTTTTGATAATACGAGCAATTAAAAGCGAAAGAAACCAAGTGTTTCTTTGTGTTTTTACAACAATTAACAATAAAACAAATGAAATTCGTTATAATGATTTAAAGTCAGTGTTCGAAGAATCCACCGTTGACATTTACACACTTTACGCGACGTTTTCTGAGAGATCTTCGAGTTTGAAACAACATATTGGGATTGCGTTTGACTTCGTTGGCAGCGATTTGTATTCTTTACCACGACTCTTCACACGAACCAACAGATTCTTCCAAATAGAAAAATGAAGAGGATTGAAGTCCGGACTTCTGGGTGGCCAAGTAAAAATGCTTCCACGGCTTGAAGAAGTTCCACTTTGTTTAAGAAGATATGTGGTTCATGCACGACGGAGCTCCACCGCATTTTTCTTGGCCAGTGCGTGCATATTTAGATGCAGTTTTTCCAAATCGCTGGATTGTCCATGTAATCATTTTTGCTTGGCCATCCAGAAGTCCGAACTTGAATCCTCTTGATTTTTCTATTTGGTCTCGAATGAAAGATATAGTTTACAAAGTATCTATTGGCTCGTGTGAAGAGTTACTAAGAGTTATTAAGAGAAAAATACAAATCGCTGCCGACGAAGTCAGACGCAATCCCAATATGTTGTTTCAAATTCGAGGATCTCTCAAAAAACGTGTAAAGTGTATCATTGTCAACGGTGGATTCTTTGAACAATTACTTTAAATCATAATTTCGTATTTTATTTGTTTTATTGTTAATTGTTGTAATAACACGAAGAAACACTTGGTTTGTTTCGCTTTTAATTTCTCATATTATCAAAACATAGTGTTCGTTAAATCGATTTTTCTCGAAAACTGATCGAGATACCGAAATGAAACAAGAGTACATAATTAATGGAAAAATGATAGCTCTTTCAGGTTTTCAATCAAGTTCCATGTTAAATATACAGGGTAAAAAGTTATTAACTAAATTTTCGGTAAAATTGGTTGTAAGTGGCGTCCTCTATGAGCAATGCTGAAATTGCAACACGCATCTTATTCGTTGCCTAAAAAAATATAATTTCACAAATTTTCAACTTCCTAACCTACATATTTTCAGAATAATAAAAAAAAACGATTTAAAATTTTAACTTTCAACACCCTGTAGTTCCGAAACTATTAACTTTCGGATAAGGCATGTTTGCGCCAATGGTCAACATTTCATGTGTAGTATCTTCAGCTTTCGACTTTCCCATTGTTAATGAATCACCCTGTATAATAATATCCATTAATCATATGTAGGCAACTAACAATACCTCCAGTCAATACCAGAAAAAAAAGTAGAAGTACTACGCAAAGCACTTGTTCACTATAATAATAGTCAGTACAAAAATAAGTGGTTTCAAACTGTTTTACTGTAGAGGAGTTTTTATATAACATTCCACTCCATTTATTATTTTTGGCTTCCTATCTAGAAAACAATCAAAAAATATTTTAGCGCAATCTTGCTATATCGAAATATTATAAAACACGATTAAATATAGCTTTACGGAAATATAAAAACCACATAGGTGTTTATTTTAATAGAACACTGTGCATATTTGTCTTTTTGAAATTCCCTGTTTTACAACAATGTATACACGTCTTATATATATTTTTTTAATTTGCGCAATGTTTCATTTATTTACTGATACCTCACAAGGAATATCTTCAAGATTGCCATTGATCTTGTGTATGCCCTTCTTGCTGTTTTTGCTAAACAAATAAATTATTTATAAAAAACATTTTATTATGAAAAGTGTTCTATGGTACTTTCATTCTATTATGGACAGAGTGCATATTATATTTCAAGCAAGTTTTGTTTTATAATGCCTTGCCATCCATCTCATTGATAGTTGTTGGTTAGAAACTTTGATAGTGGAAAAGCATCAATATGCACTGATGACAATTTTTACTTTATCCATTGCGGACTGATATTGTGCAAAGCAAACACATGACGGATCAGAAAAAAGATTAAATCACATAAAAGACAATATACAGGGTGTTCTATATAAATAACGTAGGTTTGATTTATTAGTCAATATTATTTTTTTCTAGGTAGAGGAATAAAAAAATATATGGTGGTTAAACTGTTTTGGAATACAAAAAAAATTAATTGTTCGTAAAAGAATGAACAAACTTTTGGGAATTCATAATTTCATTTGTAATAAAATATAATAAAATCTACGATCTGTACCATCAATATCTTTTTTTTCTCATGTTGCTCTTCAATTTATGATATGTAATTTAGAAACACCCTGTACGACTTTAATTTGAGAACTTAAGTTGATCTATTAGATTAATATTTCTTAAAATACTTGCCATTGGTTGCACATTGCAAAAAAAAACATGAATTTCTTACATACCTACCTTACTTATTCTGTTTAATCGCAAAATGTAAATTTATTTATACTAATTCATGTAATCTTTTTGTACATTGTTCTTATAGAAAAGATTTCTATCAAAATTTTGAGCTAATTGCAAAATATTGTTCCAGCCCCCTATGTAAAGCAGTGCTACGAAGGCGACCCAGAGGTAATAAAATGTTTCATCAGCGCTTTGCATCACCTGAAACCATATTTAGCGAAAGGAATACCAGATATAGCATTACCGTCAGTGGAACCATTCATCATGGAGGAATTATCCTTATCGCTTACCACGGGACCCAACGGATACAAAGTCTCATTGAAAGACATTGATATATTTGGAGCAAGTAACTTTACAATGTCCAAATTAAAGTAAGTGCTCATCATCTCATTTTTTTCGATAATTTATTTACTTTTTGGGTAATTGGTACTTTTACATAAAATTGCATTCTTGTCTATTGTTGTACAATGTCGCGACATAACTTATTCTCAAACAGTGAAATGATTCATATAATATCAGTTTACATCTAAGATATTAAATCTTGTTGAAGACCCAACAAAAACTAGGTATCCGCCTTATGTCTGCCGCAATGTCAAGGTACTGTGTTTAACATTTTACACAAACGTACAATTACACCCGTGCCATTTTACTTCAGTCGACAACATAGTGCCAGGTGAAAACATGCAAGATCTACTCTTTGTAAATAAAATTATATTCAGTAATGAGGGTGAATTTCCAACAACACTAGGCATACTATACAGGGTGGTCCGAATTTTATGCAGGAAACTTCGAGGGTAGATAGATCTCTTTAAAATAATATGTGTTTGCCTTATAAACATAGGTCTGGAACGGCCCCGTTTTAGAGATACAGGGTGTTGAGGTTAAAAAAAAAATCGCACACTACCTCACAGGTGGTGTAGAAAGGAGTGTAAATAATTTTGTTGATGTGCTTACAAATTGCACTTACTTTTAAACATCAACAAATATTCTTGTAATATTATTATTAGAAGTGTCTGCCACAAGGAGATTGTATTGGTATGAATAACTTGAGAACGGCGAATCTTAGGGAAAAAATTAGTCACCTTTTTTACGTATTTTGTGCAGTAAAATATAAATCAGTTACAATGACATGTAAAAAATTCAGTGGCATAGGTTTTTTTCTAAAAAAGGGGGTGACCCCTGTTCAGTTGTACACCACTGGTTGAACCTTTAAAGCTCATATTTTAGGAAATACAAGGCCTACTATCATACATTATCTGTACTAAATTTTATTAAAATGGGTTAATAGATTCTGGAGATATAAGCAAAAAATCAATTTTATTTAACAACTTCAACACCCTGTATCTCTAAAACGAGGCCGTTCCAGACCTATGTTTTTAAGACAAACACATATTATTTTAAAGAGATCTATCTGCCTTCGAAGTTTCCTGCATAAAATTCGGACCACCCTGTATAAGGGCTGTTTGTTTAATTTCCTTTCACATATTTTCAACCATTAATTTGATTCCAAAATCACGCAACCTAAAGAATAGAAATGACACGAGAGGACCTATTTATTGTAAAACTATAATTTTTTATTAAACAGTGGGAAAAGTCTACACACAAATTAAACAACGCAGTTTCAAATAATTTTTTAACCATTACATTTAAAACTTAATAATATTCAGTTTTAAAATGTCATTGTTTTTTGGAAAAAAAAATCTAGTGCTCACTTTGAAAATAAGAAAAAAATCCATCAAACTTGTTTTCTTATGAGGATATGCTGGTAAAATATTGCAGGCGGAAACGTAAATAAAGTTGAATATTAACGACATATAAGAAAAATTAATAGGAAAATAAGACAAAATGCCATGCAATGTTTAGATTTTAAATATTATTAATCTTCTGAGCGTACGACGATTTCAGTGGTACTTTCTACTAACCTGACACTTATTTTAGATTAAGTGAAAATGGAAAACCATTTGAAGCAATAATCAACATCCCTTTTCTACAAATTCATTCGAGATATCAAAGCAGTGGAGTTCTAATTATTTTACCAGCTAGTGGGAACGGAACATTTCACGGAAAATTAGGTGTGTAGAATTACAAGTTCATCGTTCTGACTCAAAATTAATATTTTTTTCACTTCAGATATATTGGTCAAATAATATTTATTTTTTTGACATCAAAAATTATCTGTACCAATTTCAGGAAACCAAAAATGAGGGTAATATACATCATTTCTGCACAGCAAAAAATGTCATATTAGAATTTAAACTTTTAAAATTTAGACCTGTTTGATCAGAAAATAACTGGTGTTGGTGTTATAATTATATAGGTAGTACTTTTCGGATGCATTTTAGAGAATCAATTATATTTTAGATTAGTTAATTTTATTTGAGAAAGCAAATTTAAATTTCATACTAGTCGATTGTATTTTCAGAAACCGTTGACTGTCTTTCAGTTTAGTCGATTTTATTTCAGCCTGGTAATTTGTATTTCAAAATATGTACATATTTATTTCAGAAAAAAATCGTACAAAATTAAATACGATACTTTAAACCAGTATCAAAATAAATTTCATTATTTCATAACGGATACTAATATTAATAGGTGTCTAAAATTCGTTTATTTTTTTTCTGAATTACAAATGATATTTTCTGAAAAACAATTGAGGAGGTACCTAAATAAGTTATAACGCTTTGTTGATGAATTTTACGCCTTTGCAGATGATCTCAAAAAGCGTCAGTGGGGTGTTTGCCATCTTTTCATATATTTAACGAAAATGAAACAAACTTGCCCCGTTTTATTTTTGTATGAAAACGTTATAACTGTCAATCTAAAAAAAGATGCAAAGCTAAAACGAATTTAGCAGACAGTTGAGACATGCTAAACTATGCCTTAATTGCGCCATCTATTAATAGGAAGCCCAACTAAAATGTCAATGTCACCATGTCAATTTTTGTTTTAATGCGGATATATTTCCGTCCGTCATTTTACTCCCCTATAATTTTAAAGGGATATGCCATGCAACTTATTACATCTGCAAATGTGGTTTATTTTTCAATATCGCCCACTTTTCATTTCAAAAGTTTAAAAAATTGTGGGACCATGCCATTAAAAGGAAATTGGTGGGAGCAAAGTGATAAATAATAATGTGTTCCCCCAAAAACAAAAAATGAAGTATATGCGCATTTTTTATAATTTCGATTTACAAAGGCTTTTCAAGTAAAATTTATTAAGATCAAATTGAACCGACACCTTCGTAAATAAAATTGACGTTTTCTGAAATACATATGGAAAAGGTGTAAAAATAATCTAACATTGTTGATGAATTACAAAAATTACAAAATACAACCTCTATTTAAGTGTCGTTTCCATGAATATAGGCAGATACAAATAAGTTTGCGTTTATGACTGATGTAGAGCTGCTAGAAGGAATAAGACGTAAACGCGCGATTTGAGATAGTGGCTACCTGAAGCTTTATCCAGGTTGCACTTGTGGCTGGACCTACCTCAGACGCAAACTTATTTGCACGTTTTTTAATAAAAAAAAAATAGATTATGTATATTTCTTTCAGAGGAAATTAAAGCAACCATCAATGGAAAAGCTAGCATAAACGAGAAAGATAATTTAAAATATTTACATGTAGATACCCTGGATGTAAACATTCTTGTTAAAAATGTGCACTTGTCTGTGAGCAATATTTATAGAAATAATTTAATATTAAGTAAGTATTATTATTATTTTATAGTAGATACATAGTTCAATGTTAGCATATGGACCATCAGTGTGACAAATTATGTAACTAATTTTATCCTAGAAGTAGACAAAATTATACAAAATTTGAGGAGAAAAATATATTTTAAATTAATTTTCAAATATGTCAGGTAGTTTTTTGAATAAGAGTACCTTATCAATTTTTACATATTTTAAATGAGTCGTAATTCTGCGTATGTTGGTATAAATAGCTCTGCATGATAAAATACATAGGTAATACTGTAAAATATAACGGTTAGCCAACCATCTTAGATCTGTAACCCATTCACGTTTTATATACAGGGTGTAGAGTAGACTAACTTTACAAATTACAAATGTCGACTTTTGCTCTGATTTTTCAATGATTCATTTTTATTTTCTTATTTCTATAGTTATATTCCTTAATTCTGGAGATATTTCAAATTCTCAAAAAGAAAAGACAATGAAAAATTTTAAATGGGATACCCTATTCTTGGTGAAATTTAAGGGTCACTTTATTAAATATTCCCTATACCTAGGAGCTATAGATTTTGAGATATTAATTTTTAAAGAAAAAATTTGACAGATGCGAGGGTCCGCGGAGATGCTAGTAACTCTTTTCACGAGAGTGATGTCAAGTGAATTTTTGGTACCTGTAAAGGGCATAGGTAACAGTACGTTATGGTACCAACAAATTAAAACATTTAATAATACGTGTTTCATTTTTGCTGTTTGATAACGTCAAACAGCTATTACTTTGTTAACTTAAATGGAACACCCTATATTTTTTTTACTCTATTATATGTATATTGAAATTTCCTTTCAAGCCATATAATCATTGTTAGGGTTGCCGTTACTATTTTTAGAGATATTTGCAATTTTCTATTTTCTGGACAGTTATTCTCGTATCAGACCTGTTGTCAAATTGGCTATGACTAGCAACACTCCAAAAACAATTGAAATAACATGACATTTGTCAAGTTATTTGTCAAATTATTGTTGTGTCTGAATAGATTTTACCGAAAATTTAGATAAAAATGCCTGGGGATCGTTTAAAATATACTAATGAGGATTATTTTAATTTGTTTGTTATTTATGGAAAATGTGACAAAGTAATTTTAAGAACATGTAGAGAATCTGGTGCTTTTTTCAATGCTTATATGACTTGAAAGGAAATTTCAATCTGCATACGACAGTGTAAACAAATATAGGTTGTTTCATTTAAGTTAACAAATTATAGGTGTTTGTTTAGAGTTATCAAAATGTAACAACAAAAATGAAACACCTCGTATTAAATGTTTTAATTTGTTGGTATACCATAATTTAGCGATACCTATGTCCTTTACAGGTACCAAAAATCCGCTTGATATCACGCTCCTGAAAAGAGTTACTAGCATCTCCACGGACTCTAGAATCTGTCAATTTTTTTTCTTTAAAAATTAATATCTTAAAATCTATAACTCCTAAGTATAGGGAATATTTAATAAAGTGACCCTCAAATTTTATGTAGAATCCGAAAATGCAATAATATATAGGGTGTCCCATTTAAAATAACGAAGTTGATATCGACTTCCGGTATAACCTGAAGAATTCTAGATAGTCAGTTGTGTTCGCCCTAGGGACATTGCCATGTTGCCAAATTTTCAAATTTGTCAGGGCCGTACTTTCCTAGATATCGATCGACGCAGTTCCCGGAGAGACACCCTGTATTGCATATGCGCTTCTACCAACATCGTAACGTAATTATTATTAAATACATAAATTCCTCTCTATACATTTTACTTCACTTAAAAATATGTCGGATACGCTCGTCATCAGCGACGCGACGCGACAATTTAAAAATATTGCAGATAAATAAATCTTCTTTTTTCTTGTTATTTTTTATATACACAGTGAGCACAGCAAATCGTGCTAGCGTACCATTCTGTATAACATAATATTGACTGATTTTAACTTTGTATGATCACAGAATATTCTAATGTTCATAATTTTGAAAATCGCTTACAATTCTGAAAAACCAATGAGTGGATATTTTAAACAATGTGCTTAATGCTGTTGAAGTTACAATTATTTTTAGTTTCAAATTATTGTTTTTATTTATCCATATTTATAGGAAACAATGAAATAACTAAACAGGGCTAGGCTTTTAGACTATTACAGATTTGGCACATCATGTTTTTTGAAAAATTCTCCAAATAATTTGAAACTATCACGTCTGAATTATATTATATTATAACTATATTACCAGACGCACAGTTTGAACCATGTCTATTTGCTAATCTATTAAAAAAAAATCATAAGTCAACCTGTATATTCGATTAATTTAAAAAATGTATTTTTTATACTTTGCTAGATTTGAATTTTTTTATGTATAGGAGCTATTGTACATTGCTATACTAATGAACGACCCTTTGTGTAAATTTGCAAATTTCTTAATTTTCAATTTATTTTTCAGCTCAAGCTATAAATCTATTTCTTCGAGAAAATGGAATGGAAGTTTTTAAAGTGATGCTGCCTCAACTTAAGAAAAAACTTTCTGGACTCTTCATGGGCATATCCAATCAGTTACTAACTAACGTCCCTTTAGATACATTCTATGTACCTCTAGCTCAACAAACAACCTAATTCCATAAAAAATAGTGGCCCTTTGTAAATTATTGCCATACATATAAGTTTTCTATAAAAAAAGTAGACACCAAAATTGTTATATTACGCACCCAATTGTTTTAGAACTAATTAAAAATAAATTTACCTTTTTTATTTTCTATTGAAAATGTAGGAATATAATATATGTACTTTTTAAGAAATTATTTTTTGTATAATTCCAAATGAAAATTATATGACATTTCCGCAACTTCTTTGTACTACCTAACTCTCATTTAAAGATAATTTTTTAGCTTTTGCTCATCTAAAAAAATTACTATTATCTTACTGCATATGTACAGGGTAGGAAAGTACCGATGGTCTATCTGAAGTTACGTGAGAGTGATAAAGTAAGCCATAGAAATCCATGCGATAGAGAAGGATGGCTATAATGAAGGCTTCTCTTTGTCACCGCCCGTTTCGCCCTTCCACAAATAAGATCCACTTCTTATTTGTGGAAGGGCGAAATGGGCGTCGACGATTAGACGCCTTCATTATAGCCATCCTTGTCTATCACATGGATTTCTATGGCTTACTTTATCGCTCTCACGTAACTTCTGATAGACCATCGGTACTTTCCTACACTGTATGTAGTAAGTAGTACTACTTCAATAAGTAATACCGGATTAAAAAAGTTTTAAGACGCAAATGGTTTATACCTATTATTATTTATTTAAAACAATTGTGTTTTTGGGTAGGGCAGATGTTAATTGATCCAATCATTTTAATTGAAAATGGTCGACGAAAAAGGTCATATATAGAGCTTATTAATGTATGAGAAGACATTTTTTATACAGAAAATAACTGTATATGTGCTGTGTAAAAATATTTATATTATACCAGATACCCATTTTTATGACTGAAAATTGAAAATAGTTCTATAGTAATATACCTAATAATTTTGTTAATAATTATTGTAAAAATGTAAATTGTAAAATAAATAGTATTTTAATGATCGTTACTTTCTGCCTATGTTATCTCGTATATTATGTTCTTAAATACAATGCCTTCATAAATGTCTAAGTCCCACGTGACCGCGACTGTTAGGTTACCAAACTTACAATGGAGTCAGTGATTAACACAAAATACCCTAAAAACAGAAGATGAGTCCAGTGGAATATATATTACAATTCNGGAAGGCTAAATACGATGGGGTGCGCCAGGTTCCCCAAAGAGATCGTTTGCGATGCGACATTTTTACCTACCCCCGCACCATTCAGCCCTCGGCACGATGCGTTTCCACCTTGGCTTGGGTAGCTGAGCTGTTTCTTAGTTTTCACTACTCTCCCTCGACCTTTCCGGCTTGGGTGACCCTGCCAGGAGTATAAAACTCCCGCCGGTTTAGCTCTTGGGTTCACTGTAGCTACTTAAGCCCCTCCACCAGCGACAAGGTCATACAGCTCCCAGGAGGGGATAAATGTCTAAGTCCCACGTGACCGCGACTGTTAGGTTACCAAACTTACAATGGAGTCAGTGATTAACACAAAATACCCTAAAAACAGAAGATGAGTCCAGTGGAATATATATTACAATTCTTTAAAACATTGAACTTTAATTTGCAAAATGTGTTTCTTTTTTCAATAGGAAATTACATTTTACAAGCTTTTTTATACGACTGCCTTGCAAAAGGGGGTTTTGCGCACGGAAAACACGCTCTGAAAACGGTATTTTGAACACGCCGTGTGCTAAACATTTTGCACACGGTTATGTTATCTTTGCACACGCGTCTCCAGATTGTGATTTTTGTTTGATGTTGTCACCCAAATTATGCAATGTTTCAAGTTGGCTGAGTTTCATAGCAACCGTCACGGCTCCTTTATTTTGTTGATTAGATACTTCAAAAATTGTTGAATTCCCGAAGTTTGGGTGTGAAAATGTGTGATTCTGAAGAGATTTTACAGAAAGCAAGCGAAATATGTTCGGAACTGCTGCCCACAAAATCCAGAAGCAGGTATGAAGCTGAGTTAAGCCGATTTATGGACTGGCGACTAGCCAAAAATGTCCAAACTTTCTCAGAAAACGCAGTAATGGTGTATTTTGAAGAACTATCTAAGAAATATAAATCTTCGACGTTGTGGACGATTTTTTCGATGCTCAAGTCAACGTTAAGTGCCAATCACAACATAGATCTTGGAAGCTATAAAAAGTTGCAAGCGCTAATCAAACGAAAATCCGAAAACTACGTCCCAAAGAAGTCCCAAATCCTCACAGAAGATGATTTTTGCCGGTTTTTGACGAAAGCATCAGACGACAAATATTTACTTATCAAGGCGGTGGTGGCAGTTGGACTATCTGGGGCATGTCGAAGGGAGGAATTATGTTATCTCAAAATAGAAGACACCAAAGATTTCGGCAGTGCTATGCTGATTAAACTGAAGAATACAAAAACAAAGGTACCAAGGTGTTTTACAATTACAGGAAACCTTTACACTATCTTAAAAAAGTACTGTGCTCTTCGTCCTCCTAATCTGAAGACAGGCAGGTTTTTTTTAAACTATCAAAACGGAAAATGTTCAAGCCAAAACGTTGGCATCAACAAAATTGAAAACATGGCTAAGGAAATCGCCAAGTTTTTGATGCTAGAGAATCCAGAAAGTTACACGGGACATTGTTTTCGGCGTTCATCGGCCACAATTTTAGTCAATTCTGGTTCAAATCTGCTTGCCCTCAAGCGCCATGGAGGGTGGAAATCCAGTAAAGTTGCCAAAGGCTACGTTGATGACTGTTTGAGAAATAAAAAGGAAGTTTCGAAAAAGTGTCACAGAACCAGAACAACGATCGTCTACTGGAATACAACAAGAAAACAACGACCACACGCTGAAAAACTGCACTAAAAACACGACACCAAAAATATTCTCTATTACCGAAAACAAGGTGCACAATAATACTGCTTTTCCCAGCATAACCTTGAAGGAATGTTCAAATGTTGCCATAAATATTAAATATTAGTTTCGTTTGTTAATGCGTTATCAATTTTCTTAATAAAAACTAGTAAAATTAAAAGTAGTATTTAATTTATTTTGTTAATGCGTTGGCAATTTTAGTAATAAAAACGATTTGAATTAAAATTTGATTTTTGTGGTCTCTGTTTGCAGTCGTATAAAAAGTATCGTAAAAAACTCGTTTGAAAACCTCTTTGCACACTCGCCCGACTTGTGGACCTCGCCTTGGTCCACCAATATGTCTCGCTCGTGTGCAAAGAGTCGTTTTCAAACCTTGTTGTTGAATACAGGGTCGGAAAGTCCCCATCGTTCATCGACCGTTACATGAGAGCGATAAAGTAAGTCATAGCAATCCGTGCGATAGAGAAAGATGGCTATAATGAAGGCGTATAATAGTCACCGCCCATTTCGCCCTTCCACAAATAAGAAGTGGATCTTATCGATGAACGATGAACCATGGAGACTTTCCGACCGTGTATACTATTATTAAACTTGCAATGTATGTAATATGTTTGTTCGGGTGGAATCTTGCTATTTAATTTTGAAGCAGATATCCACAATCGATTGAGCTGAAATTTTGTATACATGTTCAGTTTGGATGACAATGCATGGTTAACTGTGTGACGTCATTCTAAATCCAACATGGCGGCACATGCAAGATGGCGGACTAATTATTTTTTTAATGCACTCCTACAATATGAGTATCAAATGAAAGGGCTTGCTAAGAATAACTCGAAAAATAAAGTGACGTCACTCTAAATCCAATATGGCAGACTTTTAAAGTTTAAAACTCAATTTTGCAGCAGATATCTTCAACCGATTGAGTTAAAATTTTGTATACACATTCGGTTTGGATGACAATACATGATTAGCTGTGTGACGTTATTCTAAATCCAACATGGTGGAACGCCCAAGATGGCGGACTAATTATTTCTAATGCTTGCCTACAATATGGGTATCAAATGAAAAGACTTACAGAGAATACTAATGCGAGTTTTAAAAAAATAAGATGTTGAACATAAACTCCGTTATTCAATCCTTCTGAAATGTTGGTGTATACTGAGGTTTTTGGAATCCTCGATTATGATATTGAGATCGAATTGTTCAAGTCTGTAGGAACGGTTAGTTAACTTTGACTTGTGTAATTTGGTGAGATAGGCGTCCATAGCATTGGTTTGCAACCTGTCTAGGAGAAGGATACCTCCAAAATCAAACCCGGAACTGTGTTTCGTAAGGCAAAAGTAAGCTTCAAGTTGAAACAAGTGGCGCATTCCTCCAAGCCCCCAAGTCAAGGTGAGGCCGTGCCGAGGACTGAATGGCATCAAGGTGTACGAGGTTTGTCCGGAAAATACGTATAAAAGTGGAATAATAACTTTATTTTACAATTATTCGGGTATTTCAATATGGTCTCCTTCAAAGTACTCCCCCTGAGACACTTCTGCCAACGCCGTTTCCACTGTTGATAAGATCGCGGAAAGTCTTCAGTTGTGAGGCTCTTCAGTTGCCGTGTCGTTGCTGCCTTGATGGCTTCCACATTCCCCAAGTGCCGCCCCCGAAGCACCGTTTTGCATTTTGGGAACAGGAGGAAGTCGCAAGGGGCTAAATCGGGTGAATAAGGTGGATGTTCTGTCACGGTGATTGAGCTTCGGGCCAAAAAGTCACGCACAACGAGAGACGTGTGAGCACACGAGCTCTGAGACGTCTCAAAGCTTCAACGTAGAAATTTCCGGTCACTGTCTGGCCAGGAGGGACAAATTCCTGATGAACAATGCCCCTAGAATCAAAGAAAACAATCAACACTGTTTTCACATTGGACCTTGATTTTCGCGACTTTTTTGTTCTTGGTTCCCCTGCTTGCTTCCACTCCTTGCTTTGAGATTTCAGCTCCACATCGAATTCATAGAACCAAGACTCGTCTCCAGTGATGACCCGGTTGAGAAAGTCCTGCCTTTCCTCTGCTTCCAACCAATCCTCACAGCAAGCAACCCTCCTTGCTTTCTGTTCTGGAGTCAACAGCTTCGGAACGATTTTCGCACACAATTTTTTCATTTTAAGTTTTTCAGTCAGAATTTCGTGGACGATTGTTTTGGGGATTGACAGATCCTCAGCTATCATTCTAATTGTCAATCGACGGTCTTTAAGAACATAAACCCGAATTCGT